CAAACAATATTTCAATGGTTTTTATTCGTAAAAACTTACAGTGAAGAACAAGGGCAAACGGAAATGATTCTGCGGGTGTTACCTGCAGAATCTGATTAATAATTACAGTTGGTTGCGTTAAATGTGGCACAAAAATGTTGAGAAGATGCCGAAAACTATAAATGGATAAAATGATACTTGAAACTATGAAAAGACACAAAATATCAATTACTTAGTTGATCAAATCATTCCCGCTGGGACAACTCAATTACGAAAAAATTGATAAGCAGTACCTTTTTGGAACGTATTTGCACGCTCTGTATGAATCAAAGCGAAATTTTAATAAAAAAAATTTTTCAGTTTCATCATTCAGGAATTTTCAAAATAATTCAATGATACCAAACATCACATAGATAGAGCAATGAATACATATTTCCAGCACATGAATGATTATTGAAATCAATTTGCTTTGCCAGTGAGTCCATTGTGAAAGGTGTGTGATTCGCAGCCACCATGACCATAACCCTTCGGTCCAAATAGCGCCCCATAACAATGGTTACAAAACGGTTTGCCCTGATGCTAAAAACAAACAAATGCGAATGATTAACAAGCCAAAATAAAGAGATCAAATACAAGTCAACCACAATTCCTGAAGCGAAGGGTACAAACAGAAACAGAAAGATATAAAACAAATTTGGAAGTTACTGCCGTCTGCCCCCAAATCCAATAAAAGTCGTGTAATTTTTACAAAAAATTGTTCTTTTACACTAATTCATTGCCGTTCATTTCAAAGTAACTTTCTTCCCCCATCATTTCAACCAGTTCTGGCGCTAGTCGTGTAACTCATAGCCCCTCCACTACTTTACCAACCCATACACCAATTTTTGGTGAATTCTAAGCTTGAAACCAACAATAATGAAAGTCAACAATAAATGTTGTAATGCAGCTCAGACAGCACCACTTCTACTTCTCTTGTGAGAGATCAATCCAGTCATCAGCTTGCTTGTAAGCAATTCTCGAAAGAGAAGCCACCGACAGTCCTGGTGTGGCCTGGACGATATGCTGTAATTTTGTGGGTTGCACTGCTCAGGCCTCATTACTCTCACCTACCAATTATGAGGTATGTGTGTATGCAAACGCAGAAACGGGAAGGAAAAAATTTGCAGCTAATTTACCTCGCAATGGTTGCCCGGTGTCAGCGTCTTGCGGCAGTGTTCATTTTCACATCGCAAGCATGGACGATGCCAATCTTTACCAATTGAGCAAACACGCTCGGCTGAAAACATAAATTTCGAATAAGTGCATTATTCAAGTGTTTAACACTTCCTCAATGATGCCTTGTTTTCTTTCAGGATGAGAAAAAAGGGGGAAAAAAACGGAAAAGACCAAAGGCAAGAGCAGCTTATCTATGGAAACCAAAAACCAGAAATTCTTTTTTAACAAAAAAAACGCGTCATTTCCTGATAATGACGAAGATGAGAGGCAGAGCCCTTACCAAAATAAACTGGTTTCTTGCAGCCCGGACAATTTGGCATCGTTGTCGCTTTATATGTCGCTTCTTCACTTCCTGAAAATGCAAGAACTATGCAAACATTTCTTGTTGCATATGTGGAAAAAAGACAATCACACGGCACACACACACACACACACAGCAACAAACAGAAGCGCATTTTTATCCGGAATTAATTCTACGAGAGGTCACTGAGTAGTAGCCACTGTCCACTAAAGTGCTGGAATACTATCCTGACTGAGCTCCACAGGGTAGCCCGAGCAGCGGCAATGACGGGTAATCGTTGCACGCGCTCCCAACCCATGTTTTGAGGCATTCTG